AACATTTTAGTCGTCATTTGTGAAACAGATATTAACTAAAGGTCAACCAACTCATGATGGTGTCTGTAAAATTTTGGAAGGGATGACTTCAACTTCATATAATAGCTTTCTTGTAAGCAGCAACCTTCTATCAAGGAAATCATGATAGAAATTGCCAGCTTTGGAATATAGTATCAACTGGGAGTTAAATACTCCACATGCAGGAGCACATAAAAAATATAAAAGCAATGTTACGCCTCAATGCTCACAAGCACTTTATCTTTTTTCAAAGGATGAATAAAATTCTGCTTTCAATTCTACAATATTTTTTTTTTATTTAGATATAAATCCAAAGTAGATTTAAGTCATACCATTTGTACAAAAAATTCACTCAAAAATAATAGCTTTAAACTGCATTGTTTGCATATCTAGGATAAAATAGAAATAATATTGACAAGAAATATTTATAACCTCTGAAGTTTTGATTATTTTACTGCAAAGTAGACTCAGCCTTATTCTCTAAAGAGTTGATGCCATTTGTGCACTGCATGTCTCTGGTGTCCTGTGTTTTAATGCCCTTTAAATTACCGATGAAAGATTATGGTGACACAATTGATTTTTGTAACCTGATTGGTTTAAGTCAATACCACCAGGACTAAAATGTCATATTATGTTTTAATTAATTTTGCTGTGTAATGACTGCTGGTTTGGATCTTAATAACTGGATTGTCAAGACTAATACATCATTCTGTAATCAAAATAAAATGAAACATCCATATGACAAAATAAACTTTATATAACAGCAATGATACTTTAGGAAGGATTGATTGATTGTTGGTTGCTTAACGTCCAGTGGCAAATATTTCATGCATATTCAGGACGAGAACAAATTAACAATAAACACAATAGTTAGGTTCTGTAATAGGGGCTTCTGGGATCAAGGTCGGAGAAATTTAGACTGCCACGGGAAATGAGGGTATATTGGATAGGGACAGAAATTTAGCCTTGTAACAGGTCACCTACGGACCCCTCAAAGAGTTGTTGCAAGGGTTCTTAAAGTGCAAAGAGCGTGGCACTCTCTTCACACGAGGCATCGGATTTAACGTCCCCATTCTGACCGGACGTGGCTGCAAATTTGTACATCCCGCACAGCCAAACGGACGCCCCACTTTAGCAAGGGTTTTACTGCCGGTCGGAGGAAGACCAATGGTGACCATACTTCTATTCCCCAGTCACCCTTGGGGGTCTTTAGGAAGGAGCACGTTCAATATCTGTTTTCTAACTGACAGAGAACCCTACCCAGAGGTAAACAATCATTCATAAACATTATTGGTGTGACTATATTGATCTTACCATAGAACTATATGTTAGGAAATAACATCATGTGAAATCTTTTTATAACTTGTTAAAAACTTCTATCAGCCAGAGTATACTTTGTTATTGCTGGTATTGTTCTTGTTAGATTTAGTATTGTACATGTAATATTATATTCAGACCCAGTGCTTTTGTTAATTCTAAAACTTATCCAAACTGGGGAATGATGATATAACATTTACTTTATAGGCCATATTGAATTTGATCAAATATGTAAGGTATAAAATTGACTACTATAACAAACTTAATTATTAGTGTTTATTTTTTAATTTGAATGGTATTGGGATTGGATATAACTTCAATATCCCCACACTTAAAAGAAGTTGGGAGGTATATTAGTTATGAGTTTATTTGTTGGTCTGCCTTATATTCAGCCTCACTTCTATGATATGAAACTTGTTTCGAGACTTCCTGTAATTTTGTTTACAGTCTTCTATTATTACTGGATAGTACTATCACCATTATTCGCATATTCAGATGTGAACAATTTTAAGTAGTTTGTAATCTAGATCCTTTCTTTCATTATTTATTTCTGGACTTTCATTATGTTCTTTACCAATTTGTGAGGTAAGGTTTTGAATTGCATTGAAGGGTCTAATTCTAGACCAAAAATGTAAATTCTGAGTAATTTGGATCTTAGCTTGATTTAAGTTTTCTATTTGTTGTTAAACAGTAAGGTTTTGAATTATTGACCTATATATATATATATATATGATTTTAAACTGATAGTTTTCACTAGTACCATACTGACAAAACATTATATATATATTGGCAACAATTCTAGTTCAGAAATATACTTGCAGATTTTAGAGGATCATCATTTACAATAAAAACACATCATGACACATGATAAGAAGTGACCAAACATTTCTTGTTTAAACATTAATCTTTATTGGCAGCTTATGTTTATATTGTTGGTGCCTGAACTAGACAGAACTTTGCAGTGTCATTGAAATAATACCCATCTCAGACATAATTTCATAATAATTGACATAATCAAAACAATAAAGCCAAGTTGTATGTAGTTTATAGTCACGGATATGTTATTATTCAATTTTTTATAGCATAGATCTATTATCTAACTAGAAACTAGTCATTTTTCCATTACCTCCTATTGAATATTCTGTCATGAAAATAAAGAAAATGGGTGCTTTACGATCTATCGTGATTAAATGTGAATTTACATTTTGGTTTGTGATATGATTATGTTTTAGTTAATAAGGATAATAGCTATCAATGTTTTATTCCAGTCTGTAATCTAAGGGAAGGTTATTGTTGACAGAGCATTAGTCTATTTAAGGAAGACATCCCAATTACATTCTCATTTAGAGTTATCTGTAGTTTTTACTTTGTTTGTGCTAGTAATTGTAGTACGATAAGATTTTCTTTCAAACTGTTTTTGTTGATAAACAACTTAAGGAAAGTCTCAATTGCTAATAACCTATAGTAGAACGGTCTAATTTTGGTGCTTTCTCACTGAGGCTTGAAATTTGAAACAAAATTGACCAAATTTTTGAACATTAATTTTAAATATCAGTCCATTATTTGAAGCTGTTAATTGTCTTTTGATAATGGAATTGAAAGCACATCTAACAATTGATTAGTTATTATTACATAGAAATGAACAAATTTGTGTAAACCAACATGTTTCACAAGGGCAATATGTGTATGAAGGGCCGTTCGGGTCATAATTCATGGAGGTACGCGTAACAGGTCATTCACGTACCCTAGAGGTACACGTAACACTTTGTTCACATACCCTAGAGTAGAGATACACATAACACTTTGTTTACGTACCCTAGAGGTATGTGTAACAGTTTGTTCACGTTCCTATAGGTGCCCTTAACAGTTTGTTCATGTACCCTGGAGGTACGTGTAACTGTTTGTTCATGTACCCTGGAGGTACGTGTAACAGTTTGTTAACGTTCCTATAGGTGCCCTTAACAGTTTGTTCACGTACCCTGGAGGTACACGTAACAGTTTGTTCATGTATCCTGGAGGTACACGTAACAGTTTGTTCATGTATCCTGGAGGTACACGTAACAGTTTGTTCATGTATCCTGGAGGTACATGTAACTGTTTGTTCATGTATCCTGGAGGTACACATAACAGTTTGTTCATGTATCCTGGGGGTACACGTAACAGTTTGTTCATGTATCCTGGAGGTACACGTAACAGTTTGTTCATGTATCCTGGGGGTACACGTAACAGTTTGTTCATGTATCCTGGAGGTACACGTAACAGTTTGTTCATGTATCCTGGAGGTACACGTAATAGTTTGTTCATGTATCCTGGAGGTACACGTAACAGTTTGTTCATGTATCCTGGGGTACACGTAACAGTTTGTTCATGTATCCTGGGGGTACACGTAACTGTTTGTTCATGTATCCTGGGGGTACACGTAACTGTTTGTTCATGTATCCTGGGGGTACACGTAACAGTTTGTTCATGTATCCTGGAGGTACACGTAACAGTTTGTTCATGTATCCTTGGGGTACACGTAACTGTTTGTTCATGTATCCTGGGGGTACACGTAACAGTTTGTTCATGTATCCTGGGGGTACACGTAACTGTTTGTTCATGTATCCTGGGGGTACATGTAACTGTTTGTTCATGTATCCTGGGGGTACACGTAACAGTTTGTTCATGTATCCTGGGGGTACACGTAACAGTTTGTTCATGTATCCTGGGGGTACACGTAACTGTTTGTTCATGTATCCTGGAGGCACACGTAACTGTTTGTTCGTGCAGCTAAACGCAACAGAAAACCTGTTTTCCCTTTCCCTGAATAATGGATTATCTTTGTCAACATCATTTCATTATCCAATCAAATTCCGCCTAACATTCACAGAATAATATAGGATGGAGTATACGAATAACCTTGAAATGACTGATGATAACTTTTCATCACTAACGGGATCTTCATATAAAACCTCTCTAACGCAGGCATTAAAATGTTGTTTTACATTTATTTAAAAATGTACTTGCATCCTCCATTTAAAATGTTGTAGAAAAGGCCTGATTTAATCGGTCAATTTGTATTATTATTCCGCATACGTGAACAAACAGTTACGTGTACCTCTAGGGTACGTGAACAAATAGTTATGCGTAACTCTAGGGTACTTGAACAAAGTGTTACATGTACCTCTAGGGTACGTGAACAAAATGTAATGTGTACCTCTAGGGTACGTAAACGACCTGTTATGCGCACCTCTAGCGTACGTGGAACAAAATGAATTATGACCCGAATGGCCCTTCATAAGTGTGAAAGCAGATATACTTATTTCAGCTTGGTCAGAAAATTTTACAGAATTAAGAGTTCTAAGTTTCTACTTGATGATATCTGCCTGAATCAGGGTGCCCATAAAACATTCAAACTAAATATATTTATCTGTACTATGTGTGCTTACACAACATGTCAGTATATCTATATGTGCTTACACAACATGTCATTTTATCTTAAAACATATCTGTAAATGTCTCTACTTTGCATGCTTACATAAGAAGTCTTTTTTTCTTTAAACACATCTGTAAATATCTCTACTATGTGTGCTAATGCAACATGTCTTTTTCAGTAAACACATCAGTAAACATCTGTACTAAATGTGTGCTAATTAATAAATACAATGTTTTTGTTCATACTACAGACTCCAGAAGAAGCAGCACAGCAGGCTGTTGATGCTGATGTACATGTGGTAGGAATAAGTTCTCTTGCTGCTGGTCATAAGACTCTTATTCCTGATCTTGTAAAAAAGCTGAAAGAGATGGGAAGACCGTAAGTAATTAATGATATGATTTAGAGCTCATGTTATTATTGTTTAACTTTCATCAATCCTGCTAACATTATAGGCTACTCTTTATATAACTAAACAGAAATCATTAAATAATTGTATAGACTCTTCTCTATTAAGATATTGATTTTTATCTATTATTATTACCTTATATAAAAGTGTTGGCTATATTTCAATCACCTAAGAATCAATAACCATCAAATGTGTGTTCATCCTTTCATCAAACAAATAGTTTGTTGATTGTGAAATAATTTGATAATAAGATAATTCCATGCATTAAATACTTTTAATTTACAGAATGCAAGAGTTCATGAATTCTATAAAAAGAAAAACAGGTCAAGCCTTCCTACTAGAATTTAGTTTCATTTTTTACCAGAAAATACAATTTCCCAGGAGATGACAAAGTACATATATTTACATCACTGACCATTTGAAAGTTACTACAGATACACACTGTATTTTTTTTTCAAACAGAAATAGATGATTTAACTGATGAAGCTGTAAATGGATAACACCTGACACATAATTATTGTGCATCTAAATTCATCTATATATACTTTGCTATGTTTGTTATTGTAGGGATATTTTGATAGTAGCAGGAGGTGTTATTCCTCCTCAGGACTATGACTTCCTGTATTCTGCTGGTGTATCAGCCATCTTTGGACCAGGTAAGGCCAACTTTAAATAAAGATAATGCTTTATAAACTTGTGTGTCTGAAGTGTTAAAAATAAATGTTGGATTGTATACCTTCATCACACTCAAACCCAAATATTTGAAAGCCAAATGTATAAGTACTTCAATACATAAGAAGCTGTATGACCAAACAGGAACATAAAAAGAATGGTCAAATCAATCAAAGGTCAACTTAGGCTAATGAAGTTGAAACCTTAGTTTCTTAATAATTTCTAAATTTATCAAAGGAGAATGTGAGAAAAGTATTTTATAAATGGTGTCAGTACTAAAGCACTGACTACTGAGCAGATGATATGCTTGGGGACTAGAGGTCCACTAGCAGCCATATCAGTTCAATGCTAGTACTTTACAAACATGGTGCGTCCACAGCTCTTTTCTGGAATCACCTTCATCAGGAACTCTCTAACCAAACAATGTTATTAAAGCCAAGTATGTATCAGTACTGGAATAAGTGAGGAGGTATGTGAGCAGAAGGGGACCAAAAAGATTAACCAAATCATTCTAAGGTAGGTTTGGCTTCCACTGAATTACAAATTCTGGTCTTGGTAGGAAGGTAACGGAAATATTTTAGATTAAATTTTATTTTATGATTGTGATTTTTACAAACATGATTATATTACAAAACAAAATAAAAGGAAAAGAATTCCATCAAAGATATATAATGATATACCCCTTTCCATTCCCCTGTCCATTATATAATGATATACCCCTTTACATTCCCCTGTCCACTATATAATGATATACCCCTTTACATTCCCCTGTCCATTATATAATGATATACCCCTTTCCATCCCTCTGTCCATTATATAATGATATACCCCTTTCCATTCCTCTGTCCATTATATAATGATATACCCCTTTACATTCCCCTGTCCATTATATATTGATATACCCCTTTCTGTCCCTCTGTCCATTATATAATGATATACCCCTTTACATTCCCTCTGTCCATTATATAATGATATACCCCTTTACATTCCCCTGTCCATTATATAATGATATACCCCTTTACATTCCCCTGTCGATTATATAATGATATACCCCTTTACATTCCCCTGTCCATTATATAATGATATACCCCTTTACATTCCCCTGTCCATTATATAATGATATACCCCTTTACATTCCCCTGTCCATTATACAATGATATACCCCTTTCCATTCCCCTGTCCTTTATATAATGATATACTCCTTTCCATTACCCTGTCCATTATATAATGATATACCCCTTTACATTCCCCTGTCCATTATATAATGAGATACCACTTTCCATCCCTCTGTCCATTATATAATGATATACCCCTTTCTGTCCCTCTGTCCATTATATAATGTTATACCCATTTACATTCCTTTGCTCATTATATAATGATATACCCCTTTCCATCCCTCTGTCCATTATATAATGATATACCCCTTTCCATCCCTCTGTCCATTATATAATGATATACCCCTTTCCATTACCCTGTCCATTATATAATGATATACCCCTTTCCATTCCTCTGTCCATTATATAATGATATACCCCTTTCCATTCCTCTGTCTATTATATAATGATATACCCCTTTACATTCCCCTGTCCATTATATAATGATATACCCCTTTCTGTCCCTCTGTCCATTATATAATGATACACCCCTTTACATTCCCCTGTCCATTATATAATGATATACCCTTTTACATTCCCCTGTCCATTATATATAATGATATACCCCTTTACATTCCCCTGTCCATTATATAATGATATACCCCTTTCTGTCCCTCTGTCCATTATAGAATGAGATACCTCTTTACATTCCCCTGTCCATTATATAATGATATACCCCTTTCCATTCCCCTGTCCATTATATAATGATATACCCCTTTCTGTCCCTCTGTCCATTATATAATGATATACCCCTTTACATTCCCCTGTCCATTATATAATGATATACCCTTTTACATTCCCCTGTCCATTATATAATGATATACCCCTTTACATTCCCCTGTCCATTATATAATGATATACCCCTTTACATTCCCCTGTCCATTATATATAATGAAATACCCCTTTACATTCCCCTGTCCATTATATAATGATATACCCCTTTCTGCCCATCTGTCCATTATATAATGATACACCCCTTTACATTCCCCTGTCCATTATATAATGATATACCCTTTTACATTCCCCTGTCCATTATATATAATGATATACCCCTTTACATTCCCCTGTCCATTATATAATGATATACCCCTTTCTGTCCCTCTGTCCATTATAGAATGAGATACCCCTTTACATTCCCCTGTCCATTATATAATGATATACCCCTTTCCATTCCCCTGTCCATTATATAATGATATACCCCTTTCTGTCCCTCTGTCCATTATATAATGATATACCCCTTTCCATTCCCCTGTCCGTTATATAATGATATACCCCTTTCCATTACCCTGTCCATTATATAATGATATACCCCTTTACATTCCCCTGTCCATTATATAATTAGATACCCCTTTCCATCCCTCTATCCATTATATAATGATATACCCCTTTACATTCCCCTGTCCATTATATAATGAGATACCCCTTTCCATCCCTCTGTCCATTATATAATGATATACCCCTTTCTGTCCCTCTGTCCATTATATAATGTTATACCCATTTACATTCCTTTGCTCATTATATAATGATATACCCCTTTCCATCCCTCTGTCCATTATATAATGACATACCCCTTTCCATCCCTCTGTCCATTATATAATGATATACCCCTTTCCATTACCCTGTCCATTATATAATGATATACCCCTTTCCATTCCTCTGTCCATTATATAATGATATACCCCTTTCCATTCCTCTGTCTATTATATAATGATATACCCCTTTACATTCCCCTGTCCATTATATAATGATATACCCCTTTCTGTCCCTCTGTCCATTATATAATGATATACCCTTTTACATTCCCCTGTCCATTATATAATGATATACCCCTTTACATTCCCCTGTCCATTATATAATGATATACCCCTTTCTGTCCCTCTGTCCATTATATAATGAGATACCCCTTTACATTCCCCTGTCCATTATATAATGATATACCCCTTTCCATTCCCCTGTCCATTATATAATGATATACCCCTTTCTGTCCCTCTGTCCATTATATAATGATCTACCCCTTTACATTCCCCTGTCCATTATATAATGATATACCCCTTTCCATCCCTCTGTCCATTATATAATGATATACCCCTTTCCATTCCTCTGTCCATTATATAATGATATGCCCCTTTACATTCCCCTGTCCATTATATAATGATATACCCCTTTCCATTCCCCTGTCCATTATATAATGATATACCCCTTTCTATCCCTCTGTCCATTATATAATGATATACCCCTTTCCATTCATCTGTCCATTATATAATGATATACCCCCTTTACATTCCCCTGTCCATTATATAATAAGATACCCCTTTCCATCCCTCTGTTCATTATATAATGATATACCCCTTTACATTCCCCTGTCCATTATATAATGATATACCCCTTTCCATTCCCCTGTCCATTATATAATGATATACCCTTTCCATTCCTCTGTCCATTATATAATGATCTACCCCTTTACATTCACCTGTCCATTATATTATGAGATACCCCTTTCCATCCCTCTGTCCATTATACTGTAAATTCAGAAATTATTGGGAGGTTTTTATTAATGCAAATAATGGGACTGGGCGAGTATCGCAAAAATAAGAACTCGCATTCTGATAACTGAAACATAGACCTGTATGGCGATTTTTTGCGAAATCACAATAATTAAACTCGCATTTTTGTCTATTCTTGAAAAATCGCAATAATAAATGCACGCAATAATTTCTGAATTTACAGTATAATGATATACCCCTTTCTGTCCCTCTGTCCATTATATAATGTTATACCCCTTTCCATTCCTCTGTCCATTTTATAATGATATACCCCTTTACATTCCCCTGTCCATTATATAATGATATACCCCTTTCCATCCCTCTGTCTATTATATAATGATATACCCCTTTCCATCCCTCTGTCCATTATATAATGATATACCCTTACTGTCCCTCTGTCCATCTAGTATCAACCTATCATACACTAGTTTGAGTGTGCTTGGACCAGTTGAAATATACTCCAAAGCTTGTGAGATTTTTCCTCTTTACTTTTTGTACAGGCATTTTATATATAGTATAACTTTACTGTCATAATGCAAGCAAAAAAGCCTCACTAACGCTCCAGATCATGAGCACATCTTTGTAAATCTTTACAAAATTCACACACAATGTTTGGTTCTATGAAAACAAGTACCTTTTCCTTTTGAGGTTTTGAGAATTGTCCTTTTAGGGTTATGGAATTTTAATTGTTAAGAATTTAATTATTTGGAGCAGGTATCATTGCAGCTTAGATTTGTTTCTATGGATATTTCTGTAAATACTAGCTTCCTTTTGATTTTGATGGTTTTTAGATTAGTTGTTCTAGAGTTATGGGACTTTAATTGTGAAAAAATTCCACACTTTATTCAATTTATATGTAAAGCTTGGTTTCATTTGGCTAGCTTCTTTTCCATTTTCATTATTTTCTCCTTTTTATTTCACATTTATGGGACAAAATTTGTCAAAATGCTGACATTTTTCACCCTTTTATCCTATCAATCTTAGGATGAGAGAAAGTGTCCTTCCTCTCAACTTTTTAATATTTTCTGGAGTTACAGGACTTAATGAGTGACATAAAGAGGATGAGTGTATCAGCTTTTTATTCTTACTGTTTTGCTGTACTAAGAGTTTTCAACAACTTTATTTGGTTATAAGGAATGGTGGTTTGAGCATCTGTATACTGTCATGGCAGTTTTCATTACTATCTATGTAGAATTGTGGGACATAATTTGATGAAATAGTCTCATTCATAAAAATTTGAATGCAACTTTTTTAATAGTTGCTCTTGTGCTAGTTTATCTCCTGTCCCTGGAGATGTTTGTTTATCAGTTAAGCTGATTGATTCATTCAGTTTTGTTGTTTTTTGAAAAAAACAAGTAAAATTTTTGTGATGGCCTTAAAATAAGAACTAATGAATGACAGTGTACTTTACAAATCAACTGAATTCCTTTCAACAGAAGATCATTTATTTCCAGTGCTATACTCTTTTTTTTTTTAACATTAAAATTTATCGCACATAAAATGTACTCCTGGTTACAATGTTTCACTGCAAATTGTAACTTAATTAAAACATTTCACATTAGTAAGACTACATGTTGGTTGCTTTCCTAGATTTACCAGTTTTGTTAAGTTTTTTTTTAAGTTTTCTTTTTCGCAACAAATAATGCTAGTTGTTAAACAGCATTAAAATCTAGTAAAAAATGAAAAGACATTTTAATGTGACATATTAAATTGTATTTTACCAATTAACATGTTACAAAGTTAATGGACTGTCTCGCTTCTTTGGCAGTTTCTATTTACTTTTAATTTAATTTTCTGATAAATTAATTAGACTTTTTCAAGGACAGAAGCAAAAGAACTAAATTAACAGTATTTATACTTCTATCAAACTTTAAAGAGTAGTAATTGCCCCCCCCCCCCTTCCCCCCCCCCTTCCCCCCCCCCCCCCCCCCCCCCCAACCCTTCACCCTTCACACTGCAGGGAAAATTGTAATAGTTTTTGTCTGTATGGTTGTCCAAAACACAGCAATACTTAAGTGACTATTTGTGAGAAAGCTTGCATACTTTGTAGGAATATCTGTCATCATATTCTCTTGACCACACTATACCAGTCTACAATATAAACTTTTGCAGCCATAGGCACTGTACTCATTTTTTGGAAACAAATTTTATCGATTCTATTGGTCTTTTATACTCAAAATTCTTACAGGCCTAATTATAGTTTTACAAGCCTGGCATGGTGGGCTTGTGACTAAAAATGAAAACTGCTATACCTTCAGTTTGATTCGACAATTTTTACTGGCATTCTGGGACTTTGACAATTTTTTGGACTATTGTAACAAACAGACACTTTGTAACACATGTCATTTGAGGCTGTTTTTTTTTTTAGAAAACTCTCATACTTGGTAGGAATGTATGCCATCATCTGTAGTTGACCACTTTGTAATGTCATTATAATTTGACCATTTTTACAAGAGTTATTGGCCTCTGACCTTTTATTTTACTATCCTTGTAAATTCAATTCATCTGATACCCTTTGACAGAAAGTTTGCATACATGGTAGTATGATTTGCCATCATATGTAGTTGACTATATTATCGTCATTTGGATTTGAAGATTTTATCAGAAGTTATGATACTTCAGCTTTATTTGATACATCCTTCTACAATAACACTTTGTGAACACAACTCCTCTGAGACTGTTTGACAGAAAGCTCTCAAAGTTGGCAGGATTGTTTTCCATCATATATGTTTGACAATAATGTACAGTCATTTTGATTCGAACAATTTCACACAAGTTAAGGACTGGCTATTTTTATGACACCATGTTATGCCTATTGATCGATGATACCTTGTGAATGCATCGCATTCTTTATGTTAGGATAATGTCCATTTACATGCAACCAAATGAAAATAGGACAAAGGTTTTTGCTTATAGCTGTCACATACAGTACTCCCAAAAAGGAAGCAAACATTTACAAGTCTGCTGCTAAATGAATTATCACCACAACCTGCTTGTTGGTGACTTCAACATGCCACCACATGACACTTGCATTTCTCAAATTTGTCATAAGTTGTTTTAGTGTCTACAGGATCCTATCCATCACCTTGGGGGCACTTTTGATCTCATATTTATTTCAAATAATTTTAAAGAATACCAAACACTCGTCTTCCCTGTCCTCTACACTGACCATTTTATAACATCAATATCATTCAAATGGTACCTTGATATCAGAATCCTTATTTAGATAACTTCCCAATTTTGTCTCTTATAATTCATTGTTCATTACCAGATTTCCTTTCATATATAGGAATCCAGTATAATGCCTAAACCATAGTTTGCAGAAATACCATATTTACCTTGAAATGACGAGAATAATTAACAGCAACAAATACAAAAGCTCCAAATACACTTTATAATGTGTTCCTGTTGTACAACTCTATACTTTACACACAGTTTTGTTCCTCATGTACACATTGGCAGCAGACATTTTGCTATGGCATAGCATTGTCTTATTTATTCTAAAAAATCATGTTTTTGTGCTATATTAACTTAGTTTTCTGTTTATCCAATCAGGAACCAGAATACCAGATGCTGCTGAAAATGTGATAGACATGCTGGAAAATGGTGGTCAAAAGAAGAGAAAGCAAACATCATAAAATAGCTTTAGACAGTTTCTGACAACATTAACTTTAAGCCTTCGTTTCTTCTGATACAATGTTATAATCTTTAATCTCAATGTGAAGATGCAAAAAATCAAAAAAATACATTCAACAGAATTATGACATTGTAAATGAAAAGGGGAAAAAAGCCTGTTGAATGAAATATGCTTTCTCCATGGTGATAATTGTAGTAAGAAACTAACAGCTTTGAATTTCAACAAATATGGATTGTTAGTATGTTTTAAATGTGATGGAAATTGGATACTGCTAATTTTTTAGCATTTATTTAAAAATTCATAAATTAGAATATGAAATAAGTGTTACTTATCTGGTTTAATGGCAGAATTCACAATGATCAAAATATATGGTTAGATAAGTTTAACAGGAACTACATGTCAGAATTCAGAGTTAATTGTTTGTTAGTCCTGTCAAAATTACTACATATCCAATTGATATACATTATGTAACCCTTTCTCTTTGGTCACGTTTTTGTCTAGTTTCCTTTTACAACAAATATATCTTTGGAATTAGTTAACCCTAATTCAAAAGTCATAGTTGAACTTTGGACTGTATTGTTATTTATATGTTTAAGTCTTGTGTGTATGAAGTTGTCATAATAATTCCAATGTGTTACTGATGTCTCATCTTCAGTTAAAATGATCAATTTTACCATTTTGATAATAACTGAACATAGGACAAATATATGCAATAGTAGATACAGATTGCTAGTTAAGTGTTTTTATTACTTTGAATTGTAGTTATAAATGAGTGTAAAAAGTTTTATGGGGTGTATTTTAGGAATATGATATAAGGCATGGATGGCATGTATTGTGTATTGTACACTAATTGTTTTCTTATTATAGCTATATTTTTCTTTGGTATATTGTTATGATTATATTTGTATGTGATATTGATATTAAATGCTTTGTGTTAAATTTTTACTGTTGTCAATTGAAACAATCTCAGAACTCTGCTTAGATCATGGAAAATTCCTTGTTCCTGGAGAGGCAGTAGATGAGATCTGCCAAACCCTATTTCATTCAATGGGGAATTTCATGTTTTGCTAACCTCTCAAAACATGGATGTCACTATTTGACATGGAAAGCACTGAAAAATAGAAAAACACTTTACTCGTTTAGTTAGAGTTGAATATTGAAGATAAGGACAGGAAAATGGAAATCTCCATCACCATTAATATATTGAAATATTGCTAATAGTTGTATAAAAGATGTACAATTTCCTCTTTAGAAATCCATATACACATTGTTACTTATAGAAACAATGTAAATTTAAGCTTGACATATGGTATGGACACTTGTCTATTATTAAACACAACATGTTGGTGTTTAGATGTTTTTTTATTTGGTTCTTTATGCTGTCACAAACCTTTATCTGTTTTAATTCATATATTTCATGATGATTGGAAAATATTTATTCAATCAGGTTGTATATATCTACTTTGGCACACCATCATTTGTCATACTTGAAACAACAAACTGAAGTGAAAGTTAGATAACACAATTCACCCTGATCCAAAAACAAGAAAAAAACAGTTTATATCATCCATCTGTTATTGTCATGTATTTTGATGAAAAGCAAATATGATATCAGCATACTATTTCAACAATGGTTACTTTAAATTGGAACTACCTAGTAAGCTTATGTTAAATGATTAAAAGGTTTGCTTGACCTCCAGTTCTATGCTTCAATAAAAGAAAAACCAGTAGTATGAATATATGATATAAGTAATGAGTAAAACCAATAACAGTTTGGTTTAATTGCCTCAAAATATGTTAAAATTGTAGGACAATCCTAGTTAATGTTTCAGATTGATCCTAGTTTAGATTCAGTTATGGATTAGGTGTAAGAAGGATAAAGGTAAAAAGATGGAGCGGAAAAATAAAATAATACATAGAATAGAATGAGCTCAGAATAATCTTCCAGTTTTAGTGGCTGTCTTGAATTGCACCAATTCATCAAATTGTATTAGATGTGATTTAATGAAATACACATGGTGAATGAATGTGCTCATTTCAGTTATATGCTTCATAATTGTAAATTTATATAGCTTAGGGTCTGACACTGATGCAAGGTGTGCATATGTCCTTGGTCCGATAAGCATGTGTGAGCTATAGGCTGTCATTGCATGGCTTTGACTAACACGTTTTCCATTCATGTATGAAATCAACTTGGCCAAAGCTTGGACTTCATCTTCCTACTGCAGTCCCTTTTGATGAATTAAAAATGTGTTAATTAAAGCCAAGCTATGACAATAGCTCACACAGGCTTTTCTATGAGCAGCAGGACAACTATATTTGGTCTATAAAATGGTTGTAAGGTGAGCATGTACGTCTGGCATGAGTCATCTGACTATGCCCTCTTTTCATGATCATGTGAGCAATGCTAAGGTCAGATTCTTATTTACTGTGATGATGATTGATGGCTGTTAATCGTCCAATGACAAATTAAATGCATATAGAATGAACAGCACAATCTACTCTTTTTTTATGCCCCCGCAATAGCGGAGGGGGTATTAAGTTTTACCCTTGTCGGTCTGTATGTCCATCCGTCCGTCCGTATGTCCCAAAATTGGTTTCCGTTCCCTAACTTTAGTTTGCCTCAACCAAATGTTATGAAACTTATACACTATGCTTATTACCACAAAACACAGAATTTTGGTGGCGTCACTTTTATCGTTCTAGAGTTATGCCCCTTTACAAATGGAAAAAATTGCTGAATTTTTCGTTTCCGTTCTCTAACTTTAGTTTGTCTCAACCAAATGTTATGAAACTTATACACCATGCTCATTACCACAAAACACAGATCAAGTTTGATTTTTGGTGGCGTCGATTTTACTGTTCTAGAGTTATGCCCCTTTATAAATGGAAAAATTGCTGAATTTTTCGTTTCCGTTCTCTAACTGTAGTTTGCCTTAATTTAAATGTTATGAAACTTATACACAATGCTTAATACAACAAAACACAGATCAAGTTTGAATTTTGGTGATGTCACTTTTACTGTTCTAGAGTTATGCCCCTTTAAAAATGGATAAATTGCTGAAATATTCGTTTCTGTTCTCTAACTTTAGTTTGCCTCAGCCAAATGTTATGAAACTTATACACAATGCTAATTACCACAAAACACAGATCAAGTTCGAATTTTTGTGGTGTCTTTTTTACTGTTCTAGAGTTATGCCCCTTTACAAATGGAAAAATTGCTGAAATTTTCGTTTCCGTTCTCTAACTTAAGTTTGCCTCAACTAAATGTTATGAAACGTATACACAATGCTTATTACCACAAAACTCAGATCAAGTACAACTTTGGGTAGCATCACTTTTACAGTTCTTGAGAGTTTTGTCCCTTTATAACGTTATATGCAAGCGGGGGCATCATCTGTATCCCATGGACACATTCCCCATTTATTTTAATAGATTGTTTATATGCGCATCGAAAAGTGGCAGAATGCATGTAATCAGTTTGTTGATGATGGCCGCTTTTACTTTAATGTTATGATGGCCTATATACTTTAATGTATTAAATCTGTATTTTTTTTTCAGAAAATGGGACTATTATACTAGTATAATAGTAAGTGCCTGTGTTTGGGCACCTGAAAAAATAGTTCCCCCTAAACACGTTTGTGTAAAAAAACATGCTATCTAACACACATGATGTACTTTAATTGACAAAAAGTGGTGGTTGCGGAGTTGTAGACTAAATCCAATACTTTGATAATTCCTTTTATCATTTTTTATGTAATTTCCTATTTCAGATCAAGCTTCTTAAAATCACGATGATTTACTCTCTAGTTCTACCTTGTCTGCAATTTTTGCCTTGTAATAAAGCAAAAGAAATATTACATTATATATAATTGAGTATATTCCGATTTACTTGCTTCTGAACTAATGGGTCTCCTTTATGGGTTAACGGGCTTTCGTTTTCCACATCTTACTTGTTACTGATAGGAACGTTTTTTGTTTGTTGCACTATAAAAATAAGGAGATGTGGTATGATTGCCAACGAGAACGTTTTTAGTTAACTATAAATGTCACTCTATTTCTCAACTTTAATTTAGATTGAAGAACGATACTTTGCCATAGGTGTTTATTATTTTCCTTGAAAATGTATCACCCAATAACTCATTAACCGAAAAAAGGTGAAAGGTAGACATTGATGTCATAAATCAGCTGTTGACTTGTTTTCGATGGAAAAAATAAATACATTTCTTTGCAGTAGTACAAATAGAAATCAGGACATATAAATGCCTAAAAGAAATGAACTTTCTATATGGAGTACAAGAAAGTTCTTTAATCCCAACAAACGTAATATTTGTATTCAATTTCTTTTTAGGCAATGTTAACACCTTCATTTTCCAAGCAATCAAGGCAGACTTGTTTTGTTTCTCACATTTCATCAACAACATCTGTACATTGAATGAATAATGACAACATATCAGACCCATAGACACTAGAATTAATAATAAACCACAATTTACGTAGCCACATTAAATTATATGTCAAGAACATTTAATGACAATTTAATACGTTGTCTGTTTCAGTGACAGAGGTCATAAAACTCACAGAAAGTTAATATTTCAATTAGGAATTTACTTTCCAGATAAGTTTCCAATTTTCAATGGAAAATTAATCTTATAAATTTCAATTAATTATTTTAACAATTCCAGGAAATATAATTATTTATAATATCACTAAGCAACATTTATATTGTCTTGAGACATGCATTTCCAATGGTTTTGATGGGTAAGTATGTCACCAGAACAAGATTTATTTAAGGTGTGTCTGTAGAGAACACAAATACAGACTAAATCTAATATATACTTTAAACTCAATATTAACAGAATAAACTGGGACATAATATATATTGACGTTAGAATAATAGTCCCAGGAATAACATACAACCATTGAAGATATATATATATATGTGTGTGTGTTTGTGTATTTGAAAATCGATTCCTAAATTTCTTTTCAACAATTAGAAGAGCTGGACAAGTAAAAACAAAAACAAAACTCAGCAACAAAAAAATACCATAAGCGGAAGTGATCGGGCAGTAACACTGAAATTAAAAAAAAATAAACGAGTTTTTTCTTAGCAACTTTGATTCTAGGGAAATTTTAATGCTCTCAAAATAATTCTAATACGACCGATAATACCTAATAATTTTATATTTTATTTCTTTTTTAATGCAAAAATGAAATGTATGCAAACTTTTGCCGTTTTTCCTTCATTTTTGTTTAAAGTTTTGTATGACAAAAGCAATTTTTTTGTTAGGCAATATAAGGCCACTAAAGATGAGCTTTTAAAAAAAAATTGAAATGAAAATCAAATTGTATTACTACTTAATTACCCAGCTGATCACACCTACCATTAGGAGTATCAAAATCACAGATTGATTACATACTGATTAAAAATCTAGAAAATGATAAAAAAAAAACCAGGAGAGCTTATCCAGGTGAAAATTTTAAAAGAAGGACACAACAATTCGGATCGTTTGCCTGTGTCTGTTGACCTCTTGATTAATTACTGGACAAAATAAAGCAGTAAATCAATGTTATCCGCAAAGAAAATCAAATTCAAGTGAAGGAAAAAGATGAGCTGGTCACCTAAATTAGTTCAAGCAGTTAGCGAATCAAAAAAGGCTTTCTACCTTTTGAAAAAAAGCTGGGTCGCCTCCCTCTAATAACAACATATATACCATATGGAGAATTGATACTAAACGAACAGTTAAATCAAAACAAGGTCAACAAAGTGTTAATAAAAGAACTGAGTTACATGAAGAAATCATGAAAGCTTCAGACGGAGACAAAGATATATTCTTTCGTTTAATAAAAACTCAAAACTCCTCATCATTCCATTCTACACATACCCTACACACTGAGGAAAAGAATCTTCAGCCCCCAAAGACATAAATAATCTCTTT